TCCGTGTTGAACCAATCCGATACCTAGGACTCCACCTGGACAAACGAATCACTTGGAATCCTCATACCAGACTGAAACGACTTGAAACCGCCCGACGTTTTTTGCTATCCCAGTATTTACAAAACAAACGCTCTAAACTTCTAATTATTTATAAAAGATTTATATATACGATTATAATAAGGCCTATTTGGACTTACGGGATTGCGCTTTGGGGCTCCACTAAACCACCAAATTCTTCTAGTAACCAATCCTTACAATCCAAAATTCTTCGTAAAATCCTCAATGCTCCCTACTTTGTTACAAATAAAATCATCCCTAACGACCTTAATGTACTATTTGTTAACAGATTTGGCCCAATCCAGATACCTCTCCTTCCATGATAAACTTCTGAACCACCCGAAATCTCTTGTTTCTAACCTTGGTTCCTCTTCTAATCCTGCTAACCCTCCGAGGCGTCTGTATAGAACTCTCGGGATCTTCTAATATAGAACTATAATCCGAGTTCTACCAATGGGTAGTTTCTCTTCATGTTGTACATGTCATGTTACTAATTTCAAATTTACTTGTTGTATTTTTCATGTAAGGTAGTTGTAAGTTTCATTAAATATGACTATAATTTTTTTTTTTGGGATGTCTTTTTTATTTTTTTAAAATAACAATAAAAAAAAAGGCATCCCCTTGGTAACATTTGCCGATCACACCGCCATCCTTTCATCCGACTCAGATTCCGAAATAGCATCTTTAAATCTGCAAAGGCACCTCTCCATGATTGAGCACTGGTGTAATAAATGGTAATAAATCCAGCTTCCTTTTTCAGCCACAGTCCAGTATCTTGGCTTTATCTTAGACCGAAGACTAACGTGATACCCACATGCTAGACTTAAAAGACAAGCACTTATAGAGACTACTGACCAGAAAATCTCAACTTTCAATTGACAACAAATTACTGATCTACAAGACAATCCTGAAAACTATTTGGACCTACGGAGTTGAACTTTGGGGGACAGCAAAATTTTCTAACATCAAACGCATCCAATCCTTCAATCCAAAGTCGTCCGAACAATAGTCGATGCTCCCTTCTATGTAACCAACAAAACCTATCACGGCCTTAATATCCCATTTGTACTCGATCTTATCCCTAAAAAAATTTCCAAATTCCAACAGAACCTTATAAATCATCCAAATCCCCTGGCCCAATCCCCTTCTAGTTCTACTCATCCCTACAATCGTCCTCGAAGGTTGAAGCGGCAGTGGCCCAGAGATCTATTGTAGTATATATCTTGGAGTTCTGGCTATAGCGCTCTGGTTCAGACTGGCTTTAGCACCAGTTGAGGGAGTAGCGCAGGGTTCTCCTGGAGTTTCCTCGCCTGATTGATTGGTATGCATGTGTTTTTTTGCTTAGTTTTAATTTTCTGATTTTTAGGTTATTTTATTTCATTATTTATTGTATATACTTTTGATTATTATTTTTCTTCTATTTATTTTATATTTTTTGTACATATAGTGTGAATGTTATCCTACCTCACTATAACCAATGTCCAAGAGACAGATTGTTGTAACACTCAATAAATAAAAAAAATAACAATAATGCTTTTAGGGACTTCGGCTACAGCACCCAACCAACTTCTACCAGAACAAATTTTGAAATACGAATATTTAAAGGAATAAAATAGTTTTCCTTTATTACTCGGGTTCAACAGACTCGGAAATTAAATATTGAAGAAGCTGGTTTTGGCCAATCAATACTTGAGAGGTTCAAACTGCAATTTGTTAAGTTAACGGCCGCCAAGATTGATGTCTGGAAACAGGTAGTTGCTTTATAAATATGCAGGGCTACTGAATATGTAAATGTTCTAGTCCCTGTCCACTTTTCCTTAATTCATGCTCTACTTGGGGATATGTGTGCCAATATTTTGAATGAATTATTCCAAAATACATCACTGAAATATAGCTAGTAATTTATATACTTTTTGAATCATAAATCATGTTTAATAGGACATTTAATCCATTTCATGCGTTTCCAAAGTGTGGTATAAAATTTACGATGGCCAAGGAGACAGATACGCTGACTGGTCTCACTAACTTTACAATATATTTAAATTACAAGACTGGTTCAAACGCTACAAAATTCGACTAAATTATGATAAATTCAAACTTATCACATTTACACTTCGAAGCATAACAAAAGATCTTATAACCAGATGTCAAAATTGTGACCAGTCATTAACCATAAAACATGTTTTGGAAGAGTGCCCTTTTTATACCGCAAGGTTAAAAGATCTCGGAATACCCCGGAATATATCAGCATCCCTGGGAAATCAAGAAGAAATCGTTACCAAAGTTATCAAGTTCCTAGATAATGAAAGACTTAAACAACATTTAACAACTTTCTAGCTTTAAAACTTCTACCCATCCTGTCGAATCTGACTGAATTTAGTTTTAAATGTATTTCATTACCTTTTATAAATAGAGATTTATAAATATAGCTGAGAGACATTTAGAGGGGATCTTATTTGTTAATCACATACTTCACACTACAGTGGATTCAGCTCACATTCCCAGTCCCCACTATACCTCCAAAGCACATTATTATTTTAAGTTTTAGTTATATATGAACTATTTCTGTAGCAGCGCAAATTAAAGAAATTTTTGAAGTGAAAAGTGAAGTGCACTCTTTTGAGGAAAGTGAATTAGATTGAGCCGTCAGATTTCCGATATGTATCGCTCGGATATAGTCAGCTGGAGTCGACTGATTCAAGTGTTTTTTTGAAAATATCTCAGAAACTAAAACTTGGGTCTGCAAACTATAAGTGAGGAAATTGTTCAGCATTCCATCCTCTATGTAATGGGCTATTTATTATTTATCCTATACATTATTTCTAAAAGGTGTTTTTTTTGTCGGTACACCATAACTTCGCCAATTCTTCATCAAATCCAATGGTTGACCCCTCATTTTGAAGATATTCTTCTCCTTCACATGCGAAAAATAGTCTCATCCCACCATAATTTCTGGAAAAAAATTAAAAAAGAAACTTTATTTGCGAATAACTCAAAAATGCATTTATTTCTGGATCGTACCCACGATAATTAGAAAGATTACTAAATTACCTACAAAACAAAAATAAAATCTTAAAAATCGGACTATTATTAAAAAAGATACAGTCCATTAGTTTTGGTATACTGAACAATGTCTTTCTGCTTAATTATATTGCATTTAGGAGTAGAATAGTCAACTTAATTTTTTTTCCTGGCTGATATATTAACTTTATTATTTCTTAAAGACATTTAGGTGTTCTTACATTTTATTTTTTTAAATAATTTAGTATATCCCATGATCTGCTCATTATTTTGTCTTTACAGCTTTACTTTTATCATCTTTCCAGTAAAATTTAAAAATAGGTCCTAGCAAAGCAATTTGTACAAATATTTTGGTCTATTATGTTAAATGGAATACTGTAATCGACCAAGGAAAAAACATTAATTCCTTCCTTTCATAATACATAGGAACTACTTAATTCTATATTGTTTCGCTATTTCCTCACTAAATAAAATTTTCTGCGAATTTTCGGCACGGACCAACTAGTATTTCATATTATTAATCTGGCCTTGATGATTTTTGCACTTCTATCGTGTGGTCTAAAGCACACACCGTAGTTTTTTTTCTCGATGTAAGTATCCAATTTTCGGCTGAGGAGTGATACTAGAATTATTTTTTTGTTTTTCTTTAGGCTTTAAGGCATAAAACCCTAGGGTCATCCACGCCTGTGAGTCGGTTATTGTTGTTATCTGTTGAGTTCATAAACTCTTTGAAAGAGAGAAAAAAATAATGCATAATCAAAAATTAACAACAGATAGATAGAATAATAAATAAGAACAAAACAATTTTAAAATAACTTAAAAATCAAAACAAATTAAATAAAAATTATATTTTATTCAATAGTTTATGGATTTTTAAGAAAATTTATTACTGTTTTTATATTTGATTATATTGTCATTGTTTAATACTATTGATATATATGGTTTTAGACATAATCTATTTAAGCTTAAGGTATAATATGTCGATTCTTGGAAAATATGATTGATAGTGAGAGGGCTATTGCAGTATTGACAATTTGGGGGTGGCTGCTTAGTGATGAGATGTATATGAGTTAGGTTCGTGTGTCCTATTCTTAACCTAGTCACGGCGACCTCTTCTCTACTATTAGTAGTGTTGCCCAAAATCGGTCTTGGTCTTGCACTTTGCAAGACTAAGGCCTCCTAACTGTTGCAAGACCAAGACCAGGACTGATTAAAAAAAATCGATTTTTTAAATAAAAATTAAGACAAAATAGTTACTAATACTTGACATTCTTAGTTACTATATGTTAATAATTGGTATAACTAATATACTTTAGCTTTTAACTCCTATAATTTTTTATTCGGGCTCAGTTAGGTTCTTCCTATCTGAAAAATTACAGGAATATCTCTATAGTAATAAGCTAATAAGCAACTGCAAGACTGTTGCGAAACTCTTGTGCAAGACCAAGACCATGACCAAGACTGAGTTTGCAAGACCAAGACTTGTCTCGGTCTCGCATCTGGGCAACACTAACTATTAAGATGGTTTGAAGTGGTCCAGGGCTTCACTGATTTTTTAACAACTTTCAATTTGCTAGGTCGGCTTTCGTTCCACGTGACACTAGAGTTTCTGCTATTCCTCCAAGTTGCAGAAGTGTGAGCGGGAAGATGAAAGCATAAGAGAGAATGGATAATTAGGTAAGTAGCCAGTGTGTAACCACTGTTCATTCCTCAGCAGATCATATCTCCGGTAATTGATGATCCAATCATGCAAATGTGTTCACACACTGCCATAGTAATCTGCAGCACAGATCCATCGGCTGGAAGAAATTTCTTCAACGGTAACTGCCATAAGAATTGCGTATAGATAATTAACGCCGAAATTCTCCAACAGATAATACGTAATTGTTCGGATCCGTGCGAAAGTATATGAAGCAATCTGATCACGAATGACCATGCGTATTAATTTGGTTTTGAACCCTGTTACAATGTCTCTCTTGGCTTTTTGATCCAGATATAGTTATCAGTGGGGTCCATACTCTATGCTCTTTGTCGTCCTCATCGCTTAAGTCCTCCATCCTCTCTCTAACCTTAGACAAAGTCCTAAATGTAAACGTTTTCCTTTAGTACATAATCGAAATAATCGAAAAATTCAACTAACTGCTTTCACAATTCAAATTCCAATAAATTTACCTTATTACCTTGTAGAAATTAAATATTTCTACATTATTTTCAGCGACATCCCTAATCGTTAACAAATACGATCGTTTTTTTTTTTTTTATATACTAAGCGAATTTTATGCGAATAATTCGCATAAATTTTGTTAAGTGAAGAAATAGCAAAACAATATGGAAATAAGTACATCCTATACATTATATAAGGAAAGAATTAATATTTTTTTCCTCGGTCGATTACAATATTCCATTTAACATAATAGACCAAAATATTTGTACAAATTGCTTTGCCTAAGACATATTTTTAAACGCTGGCTGGAAATATAATGAAACTAATACAAACAAAATAATGCCCCGATCATGGGATTTTTTAAATTATCAACAAAAAAAAAATGAAAGAGCAAATAAATGCCTTTAAGAAATAATAAAGTTAATATATCAGCCATAAAAAAAAGTCTAGTAGACTATTCTACTCCTAAATACAATATCTTTAAACATTAAGACATTGGTATACTTAATACCAAAACTAATAGACAGTATCTTCGTTAATAAATATCTGTTGTTTTTTTTTGTAGGTAATTTAGTAATCTTTCTAATTATCACGGGTATAATCAAGAAAAAAAAAATGCTTTTTGAGTCATTCGCAAATAAAGTTTCTTTTTCTTCATAAATTTTCTAGAAATTTCGGGGAGATAGGACTGTTTTTCGCATATGAATGAGAAAAATATCTTCAAAATGAGTGGTCAATCATTGGATTTGATAAAGAATTGACGTAGTTATGGCGTACCGACAATATAATATCTTTTAGAAATAATATACAGGATTATAAATGGTATTTGTAAGTCCTAAACTGTACTTTTTTCATGATAAATCATAATTCTTGCCGAAAGCTTTTTAGGTGAAATCGTTGCCATGGGATGTTTATCGCATGTTTAAGTTTTAAATACTAAAACATTGCTATTTATCATAGAATTCAACTAAAAATCTGATGTTAATGCAGGAGAATATTTCTGTGATCCCTTGACAATACAGGAAGACATTTTAATATAAGTTACTTTTAAAAGTAGTTATATATGCTTTATTTACAAATAAACTATATTTGTGTATATATATCGTCTATACCGTAATGGACGATTGGAGTACTCGGACTGTAGACTAATTCTATGGCACATTGGCAATTCAACAAAACAAAAAAGGAACAGATTCCATCTATGGTTTTCAATGATGAACTTAAGAACGATATGATGGATTCTATATGACATTGATGAGCTCAGTGCTGAAATTATGGATTTGCCCAATACTTTGCCTATCAAGTATAAAACCAAATGGAATATAAAATGTTTTAAATCAATAAATAGTCTCTCTTTAATAGTTTATTACAATGAGAAAATGGAAACAAAAAAGTCCAAGTAAGTTTTACTTATACCCCATATCGAGATTGCTTTATTAATTTGGATATTATTTCTCTTTGGGGGTGTTTTAAATAACTCCTGTTACAGGTTTTTATTTGTCTCTCTGGCAGGGAAATGCTACTCCGTATAACGTTTTTTTCCCTGTCTGATTAAAAAAATGTATATATTTGATAAGAAAAATCGGAATTAAAAATATTCTGTTCACTGAATATCACTTGCTTGTATTTTAGTTTATTTATTTTACTTAGGATATAGTGGCTCTTGAAGGCCGAGATATATATACAGCTGAGAACACCGTAAATTCGTAATACAAATATTGTAGTGTATATGACCTATAGAATATTACGCAAATATTTAAAATAATATTAATAATAATAAATAATAAAACTGGTTACTTACGTCAGATCTTGTTCGGCCCCTCATCGCTGTGTCGAAGGAGGCTAACCTCAGAAGCTCCATCATCTCCGTTTGTATCTCCAAGGCGTAATGTTGGTCCATGACGAGTTCTGCCATCATCCTGGACAATAAGTTGTTATATTAAATGTTTTAATTAAGGTTAAGAAAAAAATAGATTAAAAGTAGTTTGAGTCGTTTGTTAAGCGTCTTGCGTTTCATTTATATAAAGCGAGCAGTATTGCCCAAAATCGGTCTTGCACTTTGCAAGACCAAGACCAACACAGCCCAACTTTTGCAAGACCAAGACCAAGACTAGTAAAAAAAATCGATTTTTCTAATATAAATAGAGGAAAAATAGTTACTAATACTTGACAATTTTAGTTACTATATGTAAAGAATTGGTGTAACCAATATACTTTTGCATTTAACTCTTCTAATTTTTCATTCAGACTTAGTTAGGTTTCTCCAATCTAAAAAAGTACAATAATATCTCTCTAGTAATAAGTTGTTTGTTTGTTTCGATGTCTAGGCGCAAAACATCCAGGTCATAAGCGCCCGATCAACTAAATAATAACATCATTTAATACTATTTGGATGATTGGTACAAAAAAAAATAAAATAAAAAAATAAAAAATAAAAAAATAAAATAAATAAAGAAATGGATTGATAGAATAAAATAAATAAATAAGGATAATAATAGACATTTATAGGTAATAAGATGTATAAAAAATGTATAAATAAATAAACTTTAAAAAATAGCAGTAGAATCAATAAATGAATTGAGATTAATAAACAAATGAATTTAAAATGAAATGAAATCAAGTGAAAAAATAAATAAATAAATAATAATAAGAGAAAATATAATAAAAATAAATAGAAAAAAAATTAATAAATAAAAAAAGCCTGTCAAATGTGTTTTTTAAGTCTTTCACTATCCAAGAACTTGATGACTTTGGTAACTATTTCTTCTTGATTTCCCAGGGATGCTGATATATTCTGGGGTATTCCAAAATCTTTTAATCTTGCGGTGTAAAAAGGGCATTTTTCCAAAATATGTTTTATAGTTAGTGATTGGTTACACTTTTGACATCGGGGGATAGAATCTTTTGTTATGAGGTGGAGGTGAGTCAGTCTAGTATGTCCGATCCTCAGCCGCGTGAGGACGACCTCTTCTCTACGACTACTGCGTCTGGAGCTGGTCCACGGTTGCACCTCTTTCTTTATTGTTTTCAATTTGCTAGGTGCGCTGTTGTCCCACCATCTTTGCCATTCTTGGGATATGGTCTTTCTTAGAGGTCGTGCAAGTTCAGATGGTGTCAAAAAAACTTTACCGCGGCCTGGAAGAGTAAGAGCTTCTTTTGCTGCTCTATCAGCCACTTCATTTCCTTTAATTCCTATATGGCCAGGCGACCAGATAAAATGTGCCGTTGTTCCAACTCCATGACTTTTATAAGACTTAGAATGCAGTGTATCCCTGGATGGTCTGGATACATTTTATTCATAGCTTTCAGAGTACTTAGGGAATCCGATAAGTTAATAGGTTAATAAATAAGTTAATTAATAAATTAATAAGTTAATATAAGTTAATAGGTAACTGCAAGAGTGTTGCGAGGGTCTTGCGCAGGACCAATACTCGTCTCGGTCTCGAATTTGGGCAACACTAAATGCGAGCCCCACGTCATCATGCTGTCGAAGGTAAGTCCAAGATAAAGTACCGTTTTGGTATGATTTTTATTATATTAAATCATAATTAAACTAATTATCGATATTTAAGATATCAGGCATAATGTTTGATAGTGATGTTTGTAAAGGTCATTTGAAAGAGCTGATAACAACTGCTGGTATCTTGTTGACTGAACCTCTATCGTGTTGAGGCCGATTTTAATTCCCACTGCGTCCAATCAAACTATATTTTATTATTTCAATCCTTAATAAAGAATAAAAATCGTTTTTAAAACTCTATCCAAAAACTTAAAACTCTATCCAATTGCAAAAGCGGAAAGAAAGTGATGAAATGACACACTAATTAACACAATTGTTCCAATTCTATGTCTCAAATTTCTAAAATATATTGTATACAAATAATTTATTAATGATTGCTCGGTAATTATAGCTTTAAAACTATAATTACATTAGAAATATAATAATTTAAAATTATTTTAATTGAAATTTTTCCTCTCGTTGAATGCAGAACCCCTTCACTTAACTATACAATGTGTTTTATTTTAATTTATTATTTTTACTATGCTTTACAAAACGATTAGATAAAAAATGCTTGCTATGTTGGTCAGTATAACTCCTTAACCATTGGGAAGGTAAGAACAAAAAACAAAACAAAAAAACAAGGAACTGTGTGAGGAAAAAACAATACATATTCTGTATCTCGGTGGTAACCAACATCATGTTTATTTTAGTATTTATTCAGGGAGTCAATTTTCAATTATTTTGAGCTATTAAAATTTGTTTCTTCGTCACTAAATTAGTTAGTGAAAAAATGGACGTTTACACCCGAGGCACAGAATTAAATGTTTCAATATTTTACTTTTTTTTGAACAATTACACAAAAAAAATTATATACGATAGTTTTTTAGTAGTCGTTGTGTTTTCATATATATATATGAACACATTTATCAACTTTCCCCCAACTATGAGCAAAATCGGACAAGCTGTTTTTGAAATATATGGTTGTTTATTAATGAAATACGCTTGCACATGCATAAGCGAAATTAGTGCATGGCATTCGATAAAATTTATATGGCACCATATAGTGCCTACTATCGTGCACAACCGCTACAAAATTTCATGAAAATCAGATTAATGATAATAGATGATATGTCTGTCCAATGAATTTACCTACGGATAGATATGGGACGATAGACGAAAGACATTCAATGTCTTTGTTCTTTGATGTCTAAAACCAAAAACAAGAGTGGATATTTTTAATTCGTTGGGAAAATTTCTTCACTAAATGAGGTAGGAAAGCTTTGTACTTAAAGCTTTAAGTAGTTTAAAAAACGTTTTCTCAGAATCAAAAATTTTCACTCACATTTATACTTTATACATCAAAGAACAACTTTGGTTTCTTGCCTGCGTTCAAATATATTTGACGGTCTTATCACCCACAACCGCTAGTACGATTTTAATTTAAATTAATTTTCTCGGAAACTGTTTATTAAGAAAAATCAGTGCATGGCATTCGATAAAGCTGGTATGGCACCAAATAGTACCTACTATCGTGCACGATCGCTGTAAATTTCATGAAAATCAGATTCAAATATATTTGACGGTCTTATCACCACAAAACTGCTAGTTTGATTTGCATTTAATTTAATTTAATTTTCTCAGACCAAAGTTCAGAAACAGCTCGTTCGATTTGTCCCAAAGCTGAAGGAAAGTTGGGATTAATGACAAAAATTATAAATTCATTTTTCCGAATTTCATCTACTATTTTCTCTTACATTTTTATCACAAAAAATATTGCCACTTTTGGGTGCGCATAAGTATACCAGTATTATAAAAATGGCTCATTTATTTTTACCAAAAGTGGAAGGAAATCGGGAGGATAGTGTCCAAATCGTCTAGTATAGCAATTTCATAAACTTTCATTTAATAATAAAAATTAATGCAATTAATCGTTAAGAAAGGACATTGAGGAACTCGCTAAGACTCGGATAAGAGGAGAACGGCCTACAAGTAAATGAACACAAAAACAAAAAATATGATAATAAGCCAGAAATTTAAGCCCAATATCCGAATCCTTAATGAATGACCAACGGGCAGAAATAGACCAGCGTATAACCAGCGCAAAAAGAGCTTTCTTATCCCTTTCAAAGGTATTGAAATCCCTAAACATATCAAGAAATCTCAAATTAAGGGTGTACAATGCTATGATTAAGCCAGTTCTGTGAGACCTGGATCCTAACCAGCACTCTAGAAAAACCTATTTAAAGATTTGAAAGGACAAACCTCTGCACGAAAACCGGAGCGATCTGGTATCAAAATACTAATGATTGGAGGAGAAAGACAATAAAGAACTTCAATATCCTAAATAAATATAAAGAGGTCAATCAGTATCGTATATAAAGGTACGGAGGTTAAGATATACGAGGCATGAAGCTCGTCTGAATGCAATCCATCTGAAAGCCTCTACGTAACAATGAATGCCTCAATAGAAGGCAAAAGACCACGTGGAAAGGCAAAAAGCAGATGGATAGATGGAATCAACAAAGATGCAACAGAGCTGCGTGCAGATAAACGGAAAACATAGCCAAAGACAGGCAGAGATGGAGCAGGCTAGTTAAGGCGGCAAAAGATATACATGTTTTGTATTGTCAAAAGAAAACAAAATAGGTAAGAACATAATGACTGTAAAATAAAATAATAATTTAGAAAAGAAGGTTTATTTTATATTATAATGTTATGAGTTTATAATTTCGCTACCATGTTTTGATAAGGCTTTAACAGACATTTTCGGATAAAGTGTGATTATTAATCAATCTGAATCTCCTTTAAGATTGAACTTATTATATATTTAAAGTAGTTATAACTTCGCTTACATCTTTTTCATTTTCATTTCTACTCATATTGAGAGGATGTTGGAGTACAAGTTCAGATTAAAATCCTTGGAAAATGATGAGCATGTTCTGTTGCCATGAGGAAAAGCTCTCTTCTGTTGAGAGCATTCAATTATTGACACGACTACAAGCTCAATTAACTATCCAGTGTAAGTGGTCATACAATTATTGTTACAATGATTATTTTTATCTGTGATCTCACCCTATTCGAAATATCTAATGTGACATTACAAGTCTAAACATTTACAAAAAGATTTTCTTATATACCTGTCTGTAAATAAAACTATACTTTATACTTTGTAATTATTAAATCTTTTATTCGTAAGAACTATGTGTACAAAAAAATTTTTTTTTATAAGCTTATTTATTGAAAAATATTACAATCTGTCTCAAGGACACTTATAATAGTGTTCACGGATCACATTCAAACTCTATGTACAGTAAATAAAATAAATTATACAGAAAAATAACATATATACAATAAATAAGAATAAAATAACCTAAAAATAAATAAATAAAAAGAACACATGCACACCTGTATACAATATTTACAATTTGGCGAGAGAACTCCAAACCAGACTTGTCCCTCCAACTGTGGAGGGAAAAGTATGACTCCAGGAGTTCCCTGCACTCCTCTCTCAACCGCGTCACTAGGGCTAAACCCAGTGGAGATTGAGCAAGAGTGCTTTAGCCACATACACTCATGTCGTGAGTGGAGAATCTGGCCATTGCCAGAGCTCCAATATTTAGAAAACTATAAAAGATCGCGGGGCCACTGCCGTTTTAACCTCCTTGGACTATTATATGGATGGGTGGTGCTGGATAGAGATTGTGCAAAGGGATTTGGATGATGGGTAAGGTTCTGGTGGAATTTGGAGAATTTTGCTGGGATAAGGTCTAGGACAAATGGGATATTAAGGTCATGGTGTAGGGTTTTGTTGGTTACATAGAAAGCAGCATTGACTATTGTTCGAAGGACTTTGGATTGGAAGGATTGGATGCGTTTGATGTTAGTAAATTTTGCTGCTCCCCACAGTTCAAGTCCGTAAGTCCAGATAGGTTTCAGTATTGTCTTGTAAATCAATAACTTGTTTTCAATGGAAAGTTTTGATTTTCTGTTTAGTAACCGGTATAGTTGTCCGTATCGTCGGTTTAGTTCCTGTCTTTTAAGTCTAGTATGAGGGTTCCACGTTAGTCATCTGTCTAAGAGAAAGCCAAGATACCGGACTGTGTCTGAGAAAGGAAGCTGGATGGAATTAAAGTGTACTGGTGGACAGGAACTGCGTCGGAGTGTGAAGATGATGTGTTGGCATTTGGATTCGTTTACTTTAATACGCCATTTATTACACCAGTGCTCAATCAGGGAGAGGTGTGTACAAAATTAATGGAGTTTTTGAATACATTAGAGGGAGCGGGGTAGCTCGGTGGTAGGGCACTAAGCTTCCAATGCTCAAGGTCCACGGTTCGAAATCCGGCTGATGGTAGAAAAAATATTTATTCTGTTCCTTGGCCGGGGCGCGATTCTAGAGTAGGGAGACCCTCCTGGGGCACAGCCAGTGTCTACAAAGTTGGTACCATTAATTAAATAATTGATTAAGGGAAAAAACTGGCGGTTGAGCGCGATCCTGGTCCGAACCCCTCTCTGCACAACCGTTGGCATTGTAACAGTATTTTCCTTAAATAGTACTGAACCCAGGACCCTTCATGGATTGTAGTGGAATAGATTTTTTTTAATATAATGTATTTCTCATTCTTATTTATGTTATCTAACAGTGTTTAAATCCCTAATTTCCAAAATGTATTCCTTTAAAGTAACTTTATTTTTTTTCATTCAAAATAATTAACCATTTCACATGGGAAGCTGAAATAAAAAATGATCAAATATAATGAATGAACAAAATTTATTTGTAACTAAAGAAGCAATGAGGGTTGGAAAATATACGGAAACAGCCGAGTGCAAATGACTTTTGCCGGTCTTCACCGTTTACAGATACCTGATACCCCACCTGTACAGGACTTTCACGTTGTGATTTTAACTTGTATTTATTACTTATTATTAAAAGTTTTCACTATACAAATATAAGTCTAATAATAATAATAATAGTATACAATATTTACTAACGTTAAGTTATTTTTTCGACGAGTTTCGCGATAAATGCTTCCGATAAAACTCAGAATTTTTCCAAAAGATCCATTTTTCCCCACAATCATTAGTATTGTTTGGTACTATTCAGTTGTAAAAGGAAATGGAAAGCGATGCAAACATATAAATGTATCTGATTCGACGGTAAATGAAGTTATACCATTGTTTTCACTTTGAATTCCTTATATATAAAAATACCTATCTATTTGAAGGTTGGTAAGTGAAAGTTGTGTGATGCGCGCACAGCACCAGATTTGTTTAGTAAGTCACGTTTTTTTGTTGAATTAGAAGCGGTAACAAAAAAAAATACTTAATTTAAGTAAAAGGCGAAAAATTCATTCGTTTTGAAGGGAGACCAGAGATAATATATAATATATATAAATAGTATATGGCTTTAGTAACAGTGAGGAGGTTGAGAGAGGAGCGCAGGGTTCTCCTGGAGTTCCCTCGCCTGATTGTATATAGGTAGGTATGCATGTATTTTTTTTTTCTTAATTTTAATTTTCTTATTTTTAGATTATTTTATTTAATTTATTGTATATGCTTTTTGATTATTATTTATGGTTATTTCAGTTCTATTTATTTTATATTTTTTGTTCATATAGTGTGAATGTTATCCTACCTCACTATAACTAGTGTCCATGTGACAGATTGTTGTAATACTCAATAAATAAATAATTCTATAACAATTTAAGTAATTGCCAATAGCTTCAGAGTAAACTAGACAAAATTTATTTCAAATAAAAGTGGAGTTTGTCATTGTTAGAACCATTTAAAGAGGACTTTTAAGCAGCTAAGCTCTGTTTTTAAAAAAATCATAAAGCGAGTTTTTTTCACATCCTCCAAGTATACTACAGGTACCCCAAATTTAGAAAAAACTTTTTTTTTTCATAACCTTTAAGTCCATATTTATTGACTTTGGGTTTAGTAAGAAATATATATTTTTTTATATTACAAATTTATTGAGAGATATTACAATCTGTCACAATGAAGGACATTTATAATAGTGTTCAAAGAGCACATTCACAATAAATAAAAATAAATAATACAGAAAAATAATAACACTAAAAGTAAATGTATATAATGTAAAATAAACAAAAAGAAACTAAGCTAATGAAAATAACTACTCATATACATGCTTCTATACAATATCTAAAAAAAAATTTTAAAAAATCATTCAATCAAGATCTCCGAGCCAAAGCTTTCACACCACTCGTGGAAGGAAAGGCAGGACTGGTAAGAAATAAGTTGAGATTCATCTCAAGTTGTGTAAAAAAAAATAATGATTTAAAATCATGTCATCTAAATGTGCTCGTGTTTTCAGCAAGAATAAATTATCATAAAGCTTCCAGGATTATGAGGGTTGATGCTTAGATGATCCAAAATAAATTAAATCAAAATCCGTCTTATTACTCCTAACTTGACTTTAAAAAAAGAGCTTCTTCTGTAGATTTTATTCTTAAACGACAGTATAGAATTGGTTAGGCTTGGCAGTCGTTTTGTCATAATAAAATCACAAAAACTTTGTTTAATCTTTTGTAATTTGATCTTCCTATGGTTCTCTCCTTCCCTTCGTTGCGCTAAAACCGTATCCTATTGCAGACCCAAAGCTAGCTCTAGATGCCACAAGATAAGACCCCGAGGCAGATGTCGCACACGGTGGCTCGCAGATGTAACCCATTTCGGAGGCGTTGACCTCTTGCAACACAGTTCCGCTGCAACCTGCGCTTCTGCATACAATGCAATATTTTAATGAAGTGACTTCTCTTATGTAACTTTGGTGTTGAATCCTCGACGAGCAATTGATACTAGTTCCTGTTTGAAACCATCCAAGGATTAATTTCTTGACAACTTGGAATGGCAAAAAACTAATGTGTGTGCTTTAGACCGCGCGATATAAGAGAAAACATCAACAAGACGAGATTAATAATATGAAATATAAATTATAAATAAACGTTAAAATAATAATCAACGACTAGCAAAAGTAAAAAAATTATATTTTATATAAATAAATGTACATATTTTCACAGAAAATTAATATACATAGTAACGGTGAAATAACAGTATAATAATATATGCAAGCCTTAAAATACGAATATTTAATTCTTACATGTGTTCGGAAGATTTATAGCTGAGGAAATCGTAAACAGCTTGGCGTTTGAATGAAGCTAAAGGAAGCACGCTTTATAAAGAATTTTTTTAGAAGAAGCAGTTCTATGAGTATATAAAGTCTGTAAGGTGAAATCTCGTGTTTAGGGAATCGGCATTTGAAAATGGTGTCAACAAATTTTTATTTAAAAAGAAATATTGCCGTCGGAAAACTGGATAGAGCCACTCAAAGATGAATATAATGAAACATTTCATAAAACTCTTCAAACTGATCTCAAGCCCACCAAAAAGTCCACTGCATACGAAGCAGCCATAATCGAAGTAAAGAAAAAACAACAACTAAGGCGTGTGCTTTAGACCACATGATAGAAGCGATATCATCAACAACGCGAGATTAATAATATGAAATATAAATTTTAAATAATAGCTCACTATAAATAGCATGAATGCTGAAGATTTCCCTCGCTTACAGATATTTTAATCCATATCTTCAAAAAACTCGTTATCATTTGTTTTTCGACATTATTTTTCTCTGTTCGCCTCTCTAACACGGCGTCGCGTTAAAATACAATTTTGAATAATAGCCCATTACAGAGAAGATGAAATGCTAAACAATTCCCTTGCGTACATCAAGCAGGTCCGATTTTTAGTTTATGAGATATTTTAATCTATATCTTCAATAAACCAATTCACTCACCATAAAAAAAGTGCAAAACGTGCCTAAAGAATTCTTCACTTCAAAAAATTATTAGACAAGGATTTTTACCAATGATAGTATCTATAATTTATATTATTTTATTTTCAGAGAAGTTTTCTGTGCCCCTTCATCATAATCATCTCTTTTACCTTACATTTCTATTTAAAAAGCAGAAGATATTAGAATAGTGTGAATAGTGTTCTTTGTCTTATATCTGTGGCACCTATGCTTAGTGTGTTAAGAGCAAAAATCATATTTCTGGAAAAATAAAATTGTAAGTTTGGATTTTTTCTGGCACAAATTCAACATTTTATTTTCAACCTATGATTCATAAAGAAATGTTCGTATCTTTGATAGCCGTATAACTTAGTCCATAGGTATTGACTCACGAAAATTATTGGAGAGGGGGGGAAAATTAAAGAGTGGAGATATTTTTTTGGAATACATTCTATATGGTCTATATAGAAAAATTACCATCTCAAGCATTGAGTTGTTTTAAGCCATTCTTAATAAAAATAAAAAAAAAGGTGTAAAGTCTCACAAAATAATTTAAACTAAAATATTTCAGTATTTTCCTTTTTCATAGTTTCCTTTTACAGTTTAGGAAAGTTTATGAATCCAAAATAGGACACCTTTAAACAAATTCTACTATACTCGCTGGTAGAAGATACAGTACTTTTTAATGAAATTTGAATGTACTCGATTGATATGTTTATGAAGTTCATACTATAGCAATGTGTTAAGAGGGCTCAAGCCCCGCGAGCTCCTAGTATTCGGCACCTATGGCTTAGTCTATTAGACATAAAGAAATTAAACGGTAATTCCTTCTAGGTGTTTTCGTCTTCCAAGTCATCAGGATCAAAGATCCTCTCTACATCCCAGTAATCCTAACTCCAAGTTTCTCTATCCACCCTCTCAATGCTAGATCTCAAACTATTGATTTATATGTACCCTCCTTTAAAACTAGTCATTCATCAAATTCTTTGTCATTCGTGCTACCTTTTTTTTTGGAACTCCTTATCTATCTCCATATGTCAAATTGAGTCCACAAATTCCTTCAAAAAACTCCTATTACACCTCCTACTCAGAGGAGATCACGCTCAACAGGTTTCTTGGAGTACCCATTAACAGAGATTGAATGTGCTTAAGAAGGATCGATCCACGGCTGATGTAACAGTATAAATAATTACCTTCCACAGCCGGACTCCACACTGATACCTTGAGCATAGAAAGTGCGTGTCTTACACACAGATCTATCCTGCTCCACGATAATAGTGTATCTTATATTAAGTTTAGATTAATGTTTCGACGTTGTCTTATTTTTCTAATCTTCGAGCTATACTCGTTATTCCAGACCCTACTCCATACTGTACAAACAGGTCATATCCTTGATCCAGCCGCGAGAGATAAACTCCACCTATCTCTCAAGAGATCTTGGACAGAAGCTCGTTACCTCAGCGATGGACGATACCCTACAAGGCGATACGTTGCACAAGCGTCCATCAAGTCGATGACATCTTGAATACAAACAGAAATGATAGGTAGAATATTAATGCATGTACCATAATCACGTTAACTGGGGCTATTAGCATGTTTCAGATCCTTCGGAGAGTTTATTTTCGATTCGATCCTCACGTAGTAAAATAACTTATACATTTTAAACACATGTCAGCGACTTGATTTATTTAGATGGAAACATTTGTATTTTATTGAAGTAAGGAACTTGGCAAGAAGTAAACAATATATTCAGAATAATGTAGTAGATAGAGATGTTTTGGAGTATTCAATATGATATAATCAGTAGTAATATTGTCATCAATAACGATTATTTAGATAAAGATAAAAAAAAAAAATTGATTTTACTGGAGTTGCTCATTTTAGGGGCAAGTTTTAATCCATTACAACTTTTACATGATTAATTTAGTCCAACTTGATTTTTTTCCCCACTGCTATAAAGTGAAGTATTTGTTCATAATGAATTTTTTTATTTTATTTTTTTATTTGTTTATTTAGAAATATTACATTCTGTCTCAATCAAGAACATTTATAATAGTGTTCAGAGAGCATACTCACACTTTATCTACAAAAAATAAAAGTAAATAATACAGAAAATACAGCTTGACAGTTCTTTGAAAAAAATTATTTTAATTGTTTTAAAATATAAATCCAATTACATTTTTCTTAGACAAGCGCTGATGAAACAATTATTTATTTAGAAATATAATAATCTGTCACATGGACAATAATTATAGTGAGATATGAACTCATTCACACCATATATACAGAAAACATAAAATTAACAAAAGTAAAATAATAATCAAACAACTGTAAACAATACAAAATTAAATAATCTAAAGATAAGTAAATTAAAAACATAAGAATTCAGTCGTACCAATAAACAATGTATACAATCAGGTAGGGAATCCCAAGCCAGGCTTGTCCCTCCAACTATAGAAGGAAATGCAAGACTCCATGAGATCCCTGCGCTACTCTCTCAACCGCGTCACTGGTACTAAAACCAGTGGAGATATATTATAAAGAATAAATTAAATTAATAATAAAAGTTACATTTTATAATTAATGGTATTTGTTTAATTTATTTGTTTAATTTAAATTATTGGGGAAGACAGGACGAAACGATATCCATTCCCCCTCAACATTTTTATTGGGGATCCCTCCCTTCAATACCACTCCTCCCCTCCGAAGTTTGCCACCATGAATCTGGAGGTTTGGTTAATAAATTTCCGTGTCAATTAATTATTAGGAGAACCTTAGAAAGGACTACTTATCCGGGTAGAAATTCGGCCTCGCGCACTTTGGGACAACATCGGAATCGATAAGTTGTTTCTCCTGTTGGTTTTGATTCGACTCCATCAACAGTCAACTCAGAAACTCTTAACACCTGGGGGCTTCAACTGAATACCGCTTCCGTAGTTAACATGTAATTTGAATAATCAATTGTTTAGTCTAATCTCAATATTAAAGTGGATGGAAATTGTAATAAATTGGCAGATGTGTAGACCTGCGAATCATTTTTAAAAACGAATAGGTATAAATCAATATATATATATATATATATTATTTATTTGACGCATAACAGTCCTGAAGTACTACGCGACTATGATACTGGTTTCTTTTTCAATTTCTTCCCATCTTTCCCGCTTTTCCCTTTCTGCCCATCTCTTCTTGAGGATATCGCTGAATTTTTTCTTCCTCTCCTCCGTCCACTTCCTCCTGGAAGGAAGTTCCTTACTATCCATCAGATGCACCGCACTTTTCAGGAATTTCTTGTATTCTGTCCTATCCTCACATAATTCTCGTGTTATCCCCAAGCCTCTGTATATCCTGTTTTATTTGTACCGTATATCCATGATTAAACTTGTATCCCATAACCCTACTGAAAATCTTCTTGTTTAACCTCTCCTCGGTCATCCTTTGCATGCCATAAAATCTAAGTCTTCTTACCCTTATTTCCGTTTCCAAATCAGAGGTTTCACTGTAAATCTCTTTATTGGATTCCAGTCTGTATCCTTCTGGTGTTATTTTGGGCCCATGGATTCTCCTAAGAATCCTTCTTTCTATTTTCAGCAGTTTATCCAAACTGGGAAAGAACATTGTCTCCGTTCCGTACAGTGTCATTGGCTTTACCACTGTATTGTAGTCCCTGATTTTGGACTTTTGGAGAGGCATTTTTTATTATAAATGCTACTTTTATTATATATACGTATATATACATATATGTGTATATATATATATATACATATATATATATAAATATATATATCCATTCCGTGATTTTTATAAAGTTCAGCTGCCCACTATACTCGTACACGTGCTTCTGATAAAGTTCCCCATCATGACCGTAGCGCACTCAGAACAATTCCCTCTTATGGCTCAATTATTTTTATTGTGGCCTTTCATTGAGGCGTAATATTGGATTTCGGTCAATTCGGGGTCCCTCACCCTTCGCTGGGCCGGCCCTAAAGCCAAGAGGCCCGAGCAGTTACCGGAAAGTACAGAACCGGTTTCGGTTCTTCTCTCGACCCGCCCTCTCGCTTCGCTTTGGATCACCGCTTTCTTCATCGCTAACTCTCTCTCTCCTTCAAATCCTCCAAACCCATGGAGAGGTAAAGCGAGATCGAAATAAATTGCATTTGTAATTTTACGTCAATACAAAAGCTCATGTAAAATTATAAGTATTCATGTAACAAGTGCTTAGTGTTGTATACTTCTTAAATGTGCAAAGAAAATTATTTATGAAATGTGTGTTAAATATGGTCGATTTTAAAGCAGCCTAAGGTCCTGTTACGTGTTGCTAATTTCGAAAACACACGGAGTAGGTTATTGTAAGGTTTTGATGTTTTTTACTCTTTGCGTGTGAAATATCCACAGAAATGGAAACTAAAGATTGCTAGGATTTGATCTATATGTTCATCAAGTTCATTGGCTTTGAATATTCATTCATGCTTTCTTATAAAGCATTTTTAACAAAAAAATCTATCAAATTGGTCTTTTCATTTCCTTTTGGCATTTCAAAAATAAATCAAAATGTTAATAGATTAATGAGGAACTCACAAACTTTGTTTACTATATGCATAACAAGTGTTGTCCAACGTAGGTCTTGGTCTTGCACTTTAAGAGACCAAGACCAAGGCTACCTAACCAAGACCGGGACCAGGACTGCTGATTTTTTAAAAATAAATTAAGGCAAAATAGTTACTAATACTTGACAATTTTATTTACTATATGTTAATAATTAGTATAACCAATATAATTTTGCATTCAACTCCTCTAATTTTTCATTCGGGCTTATTCAGATTTCTTCTATCTAAAAAATTATAGTAGTACCTCTAGAATAATAAAATAATAAGTAACTGTAAGATTGTTGCGAGAGTCTTGCGCAAGACCAATATCATGACCAAGACGGAGTTTGCAAGACTAATACTCGTCTCGGTCTCGCATTTGGGCAACACTAGGCATAACCTTTTAACTTCGCTTTACAGGCACACACATCAGATCAACATGTTTTACATGGGCTGATGGTAACTTTAAAGCTATTAACCATAGGGCTTTTTTAAAAAAAAAACACCTTTATTTTTAATAATTTTCGGTATCACTGTTTCTTTAGCAAACATTCAATTTTGTGATCGTACTATCGTACTGTTCATGTGCAAAGCAAATTTTCATTCGTGTGTTTTTAGTACCTAATTAAGTTAATGAGATAAAGCCCAATTTCTGAGAATTTTCGAAATAAAAAACTTATTGTGACCGATTCCTTATCTGTTTTCAAGGGACTGCAAAATACGTGGGCATTTAGTACATTGCATAAACAAATTTAACTTATGAACTTGCAACTAATTAAAAATAGTCAAGAAATAATATTGTTTCGGGGAGGGGGAGGAGAGAGGAGGGAGGGAGGGATGAGGGAGCAAAAGAATTCGCCGGAAGCATTGCCCTGTTTTATCATCGAAGCACTCCCCTGTTTTAGGATCGATGTTTCTCAACGAGTCGACTAGAGAAATTACAAAGATATTGAAATAGCTTACATCGACCAACATGTGAGGCATGTGAAAATGCTAATCTGACCGTTGAACACATATTCCAGTGCAAAAAATTTCAAAAACAGCAAATTGAACTCCAAATTGATGACAAAGCACAGTAAAAAGAAAACAGTGGTGTTGAAAAAACGCTGAGGTACGTTCGACAAATTAAATTAATAAGTTATATTTAAGAAGAAAGATCATCGCTAATGACTCTAATGACAGTCGATGCGACGTTAAGAAAACAGCAAATAAAAAACAACAACTTATAATAGACTTAAATAGCCTCCGACACCTTTTTCCTTTTGAAATTCGTAGACTCCTGGTCACCTCCTTAATATTTTCCCACTTTGACTATTGCTGTACGGTATATGGAGGCGTCTCTGGGATCTCGAGGCGAAACTAAAACGTTTGATAAATTGCTTTGTACGATTCATCTTCGGGATCCCAAGGGACACCCCTGTTTCCTGTTTATATGAAGAGTTAAATGGCTTTATCCTTTCTACCGCCGTAAGTATTTCCTGGCATTCTTCCTCTTCCAAGTCATTCACTCCCGCCGTCCTTCATACATCTCCGAGCTCTTTCAATTTAAATCCTCAGTTCACTCCCTCAATACCCGTTCCCGGTCTTCAGATTTATATATAATGGCCCACCGAACCGCTGCTTTCGAAAAAATCTTTTATTATTCGATCCTCATCCCTATGGAACTCCATTCCTCCTGACATCGGTCGCTCCAATACTCTTTCTACTTTTAAATCCCGCCTATGCAATCACTTTCCTTCCATCCAGTCCCTCTAAAATTGTAAATAAAAACTTCTGTAAGTATGTATGTATATATATATATATATATTATTAGTTTATTTTCATCTCATTGTTCTTTCATTTATTTATTTTTTTCTAAATCGATTTAATCTAGAAGATAACTTTTCTTTTTTCTCTATTATATCTATTAGTTAACTTTCTAAATACAAGTATATATATC